TTTTTGGTTCGCCAGGGTCAACACATCTTAATTCATTTAGCCTGAGTGCAAACATTGGCTTTTTTGTACTGTTGTTGAGATGTGTGGGGAAATGTCAGAATTTCGCAACCTTTCTTTAGTTTTCGATGAACAATGTGGTAATTTTAATTAGGAGAAAATTCACTTTGCAGAGAAAGTCTTGAAACCAGCGTCTATCTGGTTTCCGGTACGATTCTCGGTTAACTTTCTTCGAATCCACCCTTTTTGCAAGCCGATCTCAGGTTATCCTCACTCACTTCTCGCTGAAAGAAGATTGTTGCGCTTGGATCGCTTCTCACAACAGATATCCATTTGCCTCCGATTTACAGTTTCCCATGAACCTCACTTTTTACTCTTCTTCTTCTTGGATTCCGATTCGCTTCGCCTTTTCCATTTCATCCCGTGGTTTTCACTTCGTTATCTTGCCGCTTTTTTTTCGTTATTTGCATGTGGATATAACTATAAGGTTTTGGGAAATGACAATGAGTGTGAGCTTGAAAATTTAAAATCAAAGTCTTTTACCTATTTTTTTTTTTTGGGATCTCTTTACCTTGTGGAAAGTACGCTCTGTTCAATTTTTTTTAAAAGTTGAACCAGCTTGTTTTGCTTTGTTTTAAAATTTCAAGTTTTGAAAAACCTAAAAATTAAAAATTACAAGTACCTAATTGTTTGAAGTTGGATAGGCTATTCATTTCGATATCTTAATTCAAATAATCCGGAAACCAAAACGTCGCAAAGTTCACGTCTTCGAAATTTTCAACTCCACAAACTCCTCTAACAAGGCGGATATCCTCACTTGAACGCAGTCAAAGCCCTTGTCGAAAAGCCTGTTGAGTAAAGTGGGGTCGCTGTAGAATTTCAATATTCAAATTGCGCGAGCAAACAAACCCGAAAACGGATTAGTAACTCGTCAAGTGGCCGCCTTTTGGTCATTTTCCAATATATCGGCAAGCATTCATAACTGTTTACCCAACGTGTTCAGTTCGAGGTTGAGGTTATTGTGTCCGGTACGGGTATTTGTTGATCGAAGTGAATGGCTTCGCCGCCCCTTTTTGACGTTTCGAGAGCTTCCAGGTTCAAATTTTGCCCTTTATTGGGTTTTGAACTTCGATTGAAGAGATTTAGCTTCTTTTTTAAGCTTGGCTTCTAAGACCGATCTGATCTGCTTTTCATTTTGTTTTTCAGAACCTCTAGGTTTTAAGTGTACCTTTTAAGGTTCCTAGCCTGAGTTCTCACAGTTCCATGAATCCTAGACATCTTGATTATTCTGAAAAACTTCTTGAGTAAGCTTCTTTCTTGCATCCAGTTTTTTGTAGCTTCCAAGTTTAACCGCTATTTTTCCACTTTATCACTTCATTTTGATCATGAACTTTTAGATTAACTAGAATTATCTAGCTTTTCCTTAGGGCTGATGTGAGCTTCTTCCTTCCCTTTAGAACACTTCCAGCTCTCAAATATTTTTAGGTTGACTCAATTTTTTTTTTGCAAAGTCGTCAGTTTCCAATACAAGGTGAAGCTGGTTTTTTTCAGATTTTTAGCGAGGAGCTTATTATTTTCTTAAAAATTGATTTAGCTTCTTTTCAAAATTTTATTTAATGAAGGACTGCAACTCCCTAAGTAGGAGTAGGCTTGAAGATTTCATGTCCTATGAACAGTCTATCCGAGAAAAAAAACATAAAAAGACGTACTCCTTTGATTTGACACCTCCAGCCAGCGGCACCTGATGAATTTACCGAGGCCACTTTCCAAGAAAAAAAAGGAAGAGAAAAAAAAACGGCTGCCCGGCTAATGAGGTCGGCCGACGTCTTTTCGACATCAAAACGACCTTCTCACCTCTGCGCGGCGTCGAAAAAAAGGCTATTCGGGAGTGGATTCTTCGGGTTATCACCTCATTATCATAGGCAGAAGAATGCCAGCTTTATTGACTATTATTTTTTTCTTATAAAAAGATCCTTGGGTTGTGCTTCTAAATTTAAGCTTGAGCCTTGAATACATTTTTTAAAAATTCCCAAAAGTAGGGAAAAGGACTCAAAGCTTTGTTTTTGTACTGGATAAAAAAATCCTGAAAGACACTCAAATTATCAAAATTCAATGTTTAATATCATTTTTAAAGCTTTTTTTGAATAATTCGAAGCTTTTTTTAACTCTTCAAATTGAGATTCCTTGGATTTTTTAAAAATAGAAATAGAAATTCTTCGGATCTACATCTGGTAGTATTTTAGCCGCTCATCAGAATATTTCCACTTAGAATAAAGATAATCTATCTTCTCAAAATTTTTCGAATGCTGAAGTACTCAGCCTATTTTCCAGATTGAAACAGTCTAAAAAAAATCAACACGATCAACAAAATATAAATATGATCAGCAGATCATGGGCGATTAATCAGCCTATCACCTAACCGCCGACCCAATCCGATCGGACGTAAAAAAGATCTTTATCGCTGACGATTTGCGTTAATTCGCCACGACAACACCACACTCATCATCTCCATATTTTGTCCCTGTTTTTTGGAGAGTCATTTGGAACTATTGAGTGAGTAGTTTCGAGAATGGACAATATTTGGCTTCCCCCAAACGAATTGAAACCTCCTGAGCGGTTTTAGACTCGCCTCGAAAGTTTATCGAAATTTTCCAATCAAGGCTTTCTCAGTAAATTGAAGTTTTTTTGTTAACAAACAAAAATCTATTTGAATAGTGGTTTTTCATCTATCAGGCGCACCTTACCTAATGCCTATTGTAACCTGATTTGAAGTGCTTCTTTTTCCGGGTCTTTGATCAACCGCTTCTATTGAACATCAGGCTAGTGGGCTTTTCAGCTAACCCTTTTTCTAAGCTCACTCCCTTTTTCAGCTAACCCTTTTTCTAAGCTCACTCCCTTTCTGGAACACAATCAGCCGGATCAATCCATCAAAACATGCGGACCAGAAGCGATAAATCTACCCAAAACGGTACGGTATACGGCCTGGTCAACCGGCTGGTCCAATGAAGATGAATGCGAAAAAATCGGCGGCTCTGCCGTCCGAGAATCCGCCCGTCAAACGGTCATTCGTCATTTGGCTGGCAACGGCGACGACGACGCCTTCGCCTGAATTGATGGATTGATATCAGTGGTAATTAGAACGGATAAATGAGCTGTTGAAGCAGGTATACTTCATTCTTTTCGACTTGTACCTTGAAAATTTTTAGCTCAAAGTCTTTGAAAAACCATGCGCAAGTAGGTTCAGGTCGGATGCGTTTTGAAGCACGCCGTTGAGAGTTAAGCTATTTTAATTTTTTTCTTATATCATCCTCCTTTTTTCAAGAAACTACCGGACTTTATCATTTTTCAGTTGATGCTCTGCTTCTAAAAGTTCATGAATCCCATAAGCTACTTCAAATTTTAGGTTTTTCTGAATCCTCTAAAGTATTTTTTTGAGAATTTTCTCAGATCTTTTGTAGGTAAGTTAAAAAATTAGAATTTTCGGCATTTTTCTTCCTTAAATTTCTTCAGGAACTTTCTCAAGTGGCCATTGACATTTGACATCCTTGAAAAGTTAAGTTAGAAGCTCGGACAATGAAATCAAAGAGCGGAGGAGACTGAGAACAGGTTTTTATTGGAGTTCTGCGGTCATTTTTTGTTGCCCTAATGTGGTGCTTTCTGTTTCATTTAGGTCATTTTTCTTCTGGTAACACTGGGAATATTTTCTGTATTTCCTGAGGACTTCTGGGCACGTGCCACCCATCTCAAACGTCTCCACTTATCACCACGCCTTCATCTAATCTAACCCGACGAATTTCCGTGCCACCGCATATCTGAACCTCATCTTGTTGCCACCAATTACGCAATTTGCCTTATCTTGCAATAATTCTTGGCGTTTTTTCCATGATATTCAGATTTTCTGCATTTTTTTTCTAGTTCCAACTCAGATTTTTTTTTTCAAAAGATATAAGTAATTACAGAAAATTGCTATTATTATGAATGATTTATTTCATTTATGAAAAAAAATACACTGGTTTTTGCTTTTTCTAAAAACCGTAGCTTATGGTTACTTTTTTTTTATTTAGTTTAGTCTGAAGCTGGATTTCTTGAATATTGTAATATTTCAAATATTTTTTAAGTACCCCCCACACTTAACCTTCAACTTTTTCCCTCTCCTACAGTAAAACGAGATTTTATCTCCCGGTGGGCGGATCGCCGTTTCCAAGAAATTGCTGGTCATTTCTTCATCGAGTTGTTGAAAGTTGTTAGAATTGTTATTTTTTAGACTTATTGAGGTAACTTTCTGAGATTCCTTCATAATGCAGAGCTGATTTGATTTCAAAAAAGTCTAAGGTTACTAAAAAAGAAAATTCCCGTTGTTCATAACTGTCTCTACCTTTCTGAAAGTGTTTCTTAAAAATTTTCAAAGACTTTATCCGTCTTACGTTCCTGAACAATTTAAGGCACTTTAGAAGACCTCAAAAGAGTCTTGAAGTCAACCTTTAGTACCCTGACAATTTCTAAATATTTTTTAAGACTCCCGAAGTTTCCTTCTGCTTCCCAATATGTTTCTTCCGGAAACTATTCTGAATAAGCCGTATATTCGACCAGTCAGAACCTCAAAACTGTCTTGAAATCATCCTTAACGATTTCATAACATGGGTTCGCCTCCTGCTGTCGTGTCAAATTACAGGACGGCGCTGTCCGTAAAAAAAAACCCACAAAGAATCACCCACCGTTCACTTTGTGGAACAAGCCAACCGTGCGTGACGCATCTTCCCAACACCTTCATTTTTTTTCCATCGGAAAACCTATTTTGATTATTTTGAACCAGAATCGTCCAAGAACTTGTCTCTTTTTGAAGATTCTCGTTGGTTTAGTTCTTTTGTTGGACTTCTCTTTTGAGATTTATTGATCCAACTTCCAGCCTCCTTAATTTTTATATCCGAAGTTAATGATTTTTCCATATTTTTCACTTATTTCAACCTCCAATTTTTACAGTTCAAACTCGCCGCCCCTCCGAAATGCGACCACGACTACGATGGCTCGGCCCGTCGTCGTGGTTGACCCTTCTGATCGTCCTGACGTCGTCGTTCATCGACGGATCCCCCACGGAGGAAGTCTTTCGCGGCTTGTTTCCAGTTCAGCCGCCACACTGCTCGAAAACACCGATTGTGATCGCTCAAACTTCACAGAGTTCGTTTCAGACTTTCTTTTGATTGCTTCGAAGTCTCTTTGGAGGATAGCTGCCGGAAATAACTCTGATTTTTATTTATTGAAGGAGATAACAAGGAAAAGATGCGAATATCCTAAAAACTTTGATTAAATTAGCTAATTTCTAAGTTTTTTTCGATTTTTTTCATCACCCCAAGTTTTTCTTTTTAGGTGCGAGTGATTAAAAAAATTTAATTTTTTAAACCGATTTTTCGACTCTATTTTTACTCTTTCATTTAATTTTTTTCTAGAGAAGCCTGGGCTTTAGAAACGAAATTTTATGTCCCATCATGAGTTTAGCTACTCAGAGATGTCTCGATGCGTCACGGTTGCGTAGCGGTTTAAAAAAACGCTGAATTTCATGTCAGCCCTAACCGCAACGCTTCCAGTCATTCTAAGTTAACCAAAAACTTACAAGCTTTCTTCAGAATCAATATAGATTTGAAGCTTAGGATATTAGTTGGAAACAATCACCAAATGCTACTTGAACTTCAAATTTTATCGTTTACTCTAGCAGTTCATAAATCAAGACAATTTGTCAACCTTATCATATCACGATAAATCAATGAGACAGTCCGTTCATGTCTATCCATAAAAAAATAAAACGGTTGGCCGCGATTTCACAAAACAGGCTCGATGACTAATGACGGTGTGTCATCGTTTTCTTCTGATGATGAGAACTCTCTCTTTTTTATCATTTCCGTTTATTGTTCTGGAAAAAAAAGATGAACAATACTTGTGAACATAATAATATGGGTTTTTCTTGGAAGAGAAAAGAGTTGGAAAAAAAAGGAAGAATTTGTTCTCAGATGCCCACTCGGCAATAGCAAGAGGCATGCAAATGCAGTTCTACATTGGACTTCACACGGCCGTTTGTTTTCGGTTACATGAAGGTGGGCTTAATTAATTTTTTCAATGAGGAGAGAAGTCGAGTAATAAACAGTTTTCAGTGAGAATTCAACCATTCAAAATTCAATTTCTGAGTAAATTTTCAAAATTTCAAAGGATTGAAAAGATCTTTTTTTCAACTTATCATGTTGAAAATACGATTCCGAAAAAAATTAATAGCAGAAGTTGTATCGAAAAAAACTTCAGAGAATTTTTGCAATTAAATAATGATGACTCGATTCAATTCAAGTTTCAAAACTCTCAACTTGCAAAAATTTTTTTATCAAATAAATTCATTTTTTTCAGGTCTTAAGTTTGAAAAAAAGTATAAATAACTCTTTTAACAGTTGCCTTATCATAATTATATGCGTGGAAATGGAAATTGAGGAAATTTATTTATCGATTGGTATCTCACGTGGTCGCACATGGAATGGAGAGTTGCGTTGCGGTTCAGTTCAAATATCTAAATTCGCCTTCGAGGTTTCCGTGACCCTTTTTGACAGTGACCGCGAAGCTTTGAGCCATTCCATGTGCGACCACGGAAAATGCTGATTTTTTATAATTTTTTTTCCATTAAGGTCTTCCGCTAGCCTCAAACTTCCTGGAAGGTGAAGGAAATCAAACATCTCTCCTGCACACGATACGGCTAGACCGACTGGAGCATCATCATCCGGTTAGTTTATTTCTCATGTTATACCAATTTTCACTCAAAAAACTTTTCTGGATGTCAAACTTCCAGATTACCCAGCGGTATCATTTCGGAATCCCAGAAGTCCATGCCGAATGCATCTGCGAGTGTGAATCGACGTCGCCAACGTGTACTGCCGAATCTCATCAGTTCACCGCCTGTCCAGAGTCGGAAAAAGATGATGGGGTGCGTTTTTAAACAGAGAAAACGCTGATAAACCACGTAAAATTCAAAAAAAGGATTTTCCAAGTCGGGAAATAACTGTGTTGAGACGTTGAAAGCTAGGGCAAGCTTCAGAAATTAAAAAAAGAATATAGTTGAAGGCTATTAGATTGTAAAAAATTCCTAAAAATACACACGAAATAAAAAATCGAACATAACTAGGTAGAAGTCTCGCAAATTCCTTCAAAGAAAAAGAAAAGGATAGCCTTTTCTAACCATCCGTTTCTCACCTTCACAAGGCATTTTTTTGACCACCTTTGTCCATTTTCTCTTTTTTCATTTTTGTGAATTTTTCCAACAATTGGTCATGAAAAAACGCTGAAAGGTTTTTTTTAAAGGAGTTTTTTTTTTTTCAAAATCTGATCTAGGTACTTCTATAATGTATATCACTTCATGGAACTTTTTCAGATTCTCTAAATTCTTGTTATTTTCTTTTTTTTGCGGTTTCCAGACATTGCAGAAGGCAGTAAGACTAGGGAATCTTTAAAAAAATCTATAAAGAGATAGGAAAAAAATTAAAATCGTGAGGAAGGTTTTTATACCTTAAAAAAATAAGAAAGTTAAAAGGAACTTCCAATTTTTTCAGACTACCTCCTGCTACCGAACCTTCTTCCCAAACCAGACTCCGATCGGCTGCAGCGAAGACAGCAGCCCCAAACTCTGCTGCGACGTCCGTTTCAGCCCCTTCAAGTATATTTGTCCCTTCTCTAACCTCTCAATCTTGTCTTTTCTTCAGAAACATGACCTTCCTTGCGGTGAAACTGGAGCAACCAACGACTTATGCGACTTTTGTCTATACCGCCTACGATTATGTCAACGGAAGATGGGTTGAAAAGGATAAAAGTACGATCAGGTCGCAGTTGGACGGCGGCACTCAGGATAGGTTTTTGGAAATAAGCTTATTCAATAATTTGGAAATGTTCAGGCATCTCGACGCCATGAGGAGGATCTCCCTGGCCGTGACTTCGGGCGGTCGGGCCACACATCAATTGGAAACGGGAATGTACTTTGCCCGAGCGGCTCCCGGAGGCGAGATGGAGGAGCTCCGGAGGCAGCCTTTGAACGAAATATCCGACAATAAGTTAGTTTCACAGGGCCATTGGATACTTCTTGATGTGCCAGACAAAGATCATGAAGTTAAACCTGCGAAATTTCTTAATTTTCGAAAAAAGTTACCTGAAAGATAAAGAAAAAAAAAAAAATAACTATTGAAACGGCCCGTTACCCATCGTTCTACTAAGAAGTGTTGCAGTCAGCTTCATTAAAACGTTCAGCTTCGATCGGCTCGGATGGTATAGAATGGACGAAACCGGCCGCTTTCACGTCAACAACGGCGTCGTCAAAATGGACGATATTCACAAGGCCAAGGTCAAAAACTGCCGCGAGCAAACGTATCGAAGCATCCTGTCCGCTAATAATTATGTTGGTTTTTTTTCTGTTTTTTGCCTGCGGCTTTCGCTTCAGATTTTTATTTCCTTCCAAGTTACAGAATTTTCCAGTAAGTTTTAAATGAATATATAGTCTGTGTACTACGACTTGGAATTTCACCAAACGACATTCCGCTTTGCCGCTGCGCGCCTTTGAGAACATTGGTCGCGCTTTTCATTTTTTTTTTCTTACTCTACTTTCATGTGCTCCCACAGCAATAACAATAAATTGAAAGCATGACCAAGATTCGAAAGACGCTTCGCGAACGCACGCAGCGGAATAGCGGAATGTCGTTCGGTGAAATTTCAAGTCGTGGCACAACGACTATAGTTTTGGAAAAATATAGCTGAACGAATAAAATTGTAAAAAGAATGAAAAACTTTTTACACACATGATCCCTGGGAAGAACCTAGAAATGTACAGAATAGTACGGCATGGTCTAGAATCACTTTGATATGAGAACTGAGCTCCATTATTTTTTAAAAAGTGGTTTTCAAGATGCCTGGCCATTTCAACATGTCTCGGCCGTTGGAAATGATGCTGCCTTGGATTCAAAGCGCCCGGATTTACGACGGAAATGCGCGCCAAGCGATTGTGACACACGCCGAGGGATCCAACCTACATGTTACTCTACACTGTAATTTTTTAAAATATGAATTTAACAGTTTAAAAATGGAATATTCCAGTGGACGATGAGATGGATGGCCACAGTTTGGTGTTCTTCCACAATGCCTCGAGAATCCGGGATTTCAGTGGCACCATCATTGTTGATTCTAGGAGTAATAGGTAAGAAACAGGGGAAAAAAATTAGGGATTGATGGAGGGGATCAACTGGGACAAGAAAAAGGTGACCTCTAAGAGCTTAGATTCTTCAACCTCACTGTCTACGACGCGTCGGGAAAAATTGACGGATCCGTGAAATATTCCACGGAAAATATAGCCAGCAACATTCACACGTTCACCACTTACGTCAGCGATCTTCAGGTGAAATTGTGGACCTTTTGAATTAGTCTTTTTTTTGTTTCAGTAGCTTTTCCATGCTTCTGGCTCATTTTAAAAAAAAACGTCAACCTCCTTTTTAATCAACATGTTTCAGGCTACAAACCGGTCAATGATTGTCCCACTGCCGGCTGTAGTGGAAGCGGGTCCGCGGATGATTTGTCTAAGGGCCGATGAGATGCAAGAACGAGACGCTCTTTGTAAGGTCGTCGAATATCATGAGAGTCCTTTGGAGGTAACGAACAGAAACAAAAATCAGAATAGAACGTTGAATTTCAGATCGATTTGGTCGAGGGAAAATGGCACGAAATGGTTGGCAGTTGTCCAACTTGCAATCAGGTCAACTTCAACGGCATCATGAAGTTTGTTCTTTTAAGAACAAGATAAACTCTAGTTTTGTTTGAATTCATAAATCTGGGCTTTTTTCAGGTTCCTCAACCCGGGAGCTTGGATCAAAGGCATCTCGTCACTGGGCGACGGCGTCATGTTGGTGACGGACCTGGTGGTGTACCTGGGCGTCCTGATCGTCCTCTACCTCCTCATCACCAAACTCATCATCCCGCTAGTCCGCTGCTGGGCCTGCCCGCTCAGCTTCCTCTCCTCGTCTTCTTCATCGAGCAAGAAGAAGAAGTCGAAGACGTCACGGCGACGTTCCGAATCTCGGTCGCCTTCTCCAGAATCCGCGACGTCATCGGCATCGCTACCGCGACGACGTCTACAGAGACGAAAACTATATTTAAATTTGACGTCAGTTTGATTCTTCATGATGAGATACTGAGGAGAATGTGGAGTTTTTATCATGCTTTTCTTTTTAATTTTTCGAGCAGATGAAGAATATGAAACGTCAGGAGAGTCTAGAGTTCATAAGTCTCCGATTTTACTACGTCTTTCATTGCTTTTCTTGCTTTGTTAAACGCATAGACAGTGGGGAAAGTGGAGAGAGCTCAGACATTTGCGCTCTGGATCATTTCTTCTTTCGCGAGCTCTATAGCTAAAGATTAATCTGATTTTTTACAAATTATCTCTAGCTGAACTGAACGTCTACAAAATCTTAGAGGTTTCAGAATTTCCCCTGGGCCCATAACTCTCTACATTTCCATGTTATCTCGTTTTGAACTTGAAAATGCCAATCTTTCTTTTGTCCAGTGATTTTCGAACTTTCAAAAAGTGCTAATAATACGTCCTTACTGCCATGACCAAAAATAGTTCATTCACCCTTAATAAGCAAAAAAAAAACTCTCAATCACGGGTTGTATTTTTGTTTCTCTTGTTATTAATTTCGACTCCTTGCTGCCTTTTTTTTTGTCATTTTGATTGCCGGAATTCATAAGTTGTGCCTTATCAGTTGTATCATACGTATATCATCATCGGTGCTTTTTGGTCACATTTTTCATATTTTTCAATTGTTGCCAATTTTATTAATCTCAACTTAATTACCAATAATGACCGATTTCGGGTATATACCATATGATAGTCCCAGATTACGATGACTTCAAGTACATTGTGATATTTTCCTCGTTCGTCTTCACATAAAATAAAAATTTATGCCCATAAATCCGCGGAGAACTCTACCTTACCGAGCATAATCTAATAATCGAACAGAAATAATTTGGAAAGAACCATTCTTGAGCAGAAAATCGCAGGAGTCGAGGTTTGAACACTGGTCAAATTCGGTCTCTAAGCTCTTATACCTAGACGTCTAAAAACTTTTTGACCTAAATTTTTAGGCCCCTGACCTCATTTCCTATCGATTGATATGGAAATCTCGGAAACTTTGGATTTTGGGAAAATCGAAAAAAGTACAGTCTAACCCCTTCAGTTTTTTTCGAGCTTCTGAAGTCATGGAAGCCGATCCGGACGAAACCTATATCAATCGATAGATCTCGACGGAAAAATAACCTGAGGCCGGGTTTGACCTCCGTAGGTCAACTAGGAACTTAGTTATAGGCGATCAAACTTAGGAATCTAAAATCTCAAATTTCGTCGAAACATGTATCAATCGATAGAGGAGATCACAAGGATCAAGAAAAACTAGAACTCCAAGCTCCTAACCTCCTAGAAATCGAGTTGTGATTTTTCAAAAAAGTCGATTATCTTCAAAAAATCATAAACTTTTTTCTAGGCACCTGAGAACCCTCTGACCTCGAATTCCGAGCTTCTGACGTCATTTCCTATCGATTGATGTGAAAATCTCGGAAACTTTGGATTTCGGGAAAATCGAAAAAAGTACAGTCTAACCCCTTCAGTTTTTTTCGAGCTTCTGAGGTCAGGGAAGCCGATCCGGACGAAACCTATATCAATCGATAGATCTCGACGAAAAAATAACCTGAGGCCAGGTTTGACCTCCGTAGGTCAAATAAGGACTGAGTTAGAGGCGATCAAACTTGAAGATCGGAAAGTGGAAAGTAGGTCAAAACAGGTATCAATCGATAGAGGAGATCACAAGGATCAAGAAAAACTAGGTCTCTGAGTTCCTAACCTCCTAGAAATCGAGTTGTGATTTTTTGAAAACTTTGAAAAATCATAACTCCATCACTAAACGTCTAAGAGCCCTCTGACCTGAATATTCGGACTTCTGACGTCATTTCCTATCGATTGATGTAAAAATCTCGGAAACTTTGGATTTTGGGAAAATCGAAAAAAGTACAGTCTAACCCCTTACGTTTTTTTCGAGCTTCTGAGGTCATGGAAGCCGATCCGGACGAAACCTATATCAATCGATAGATCTCGACGAAAAAATAACCTGAGGCCAGGTTTGACCTCCGTAGGTCAACTAGAACTTAGTTATAGGCGATCAAACTTAGGAATCTAAAATCTCAAATTCCGTCAAAACATGTATAAATCGATAGAGAAGATCACAAGGATCAAGAAAAGCTAGGTATTTAAGCTCCTAACCTCCTAGAAATCGAGTTGTGATTTTTTGAAAACTTTGAAAAATCATAACTCCATCACTAAACGTCTAAGAGCCCTCTGACCTGAATATTCGGACTTCTGACGTCATTTCCTATCGATTGATGTAAAAATCTCGGAAACTTTGGATTTTGGGAAAATCGAAAAAAGTACAGTCTAACCCCTTCAGTTTTTTTCGAGCTTCAGAAGTCATGGAAGCCGATCCGGACGAGACCTATATCAATCTATAGATCTCGACAAAAAAATAACTTGAGGCCAGGTTTGACCTCCGTACGTCAACTAGGGACTAAGTTAGAGGCGATCAAACTTAGGGATCAAAAATATCAAATTCCGTTAAAATTAATATCAATCGATAGAGGAGATCACAAGGATCAAGAAAAACTAGGACTCTAAGTTCCTGACCTCCTAGAAATCGAGTTGTGATTTTTTGAAAACTTTGAAAAATCTTCAAAAAAAAAAAAACTTTTTTCTTTGCGTCAAGTAACATACGAGGTTCAACGATGCTTTCAGGCTTCTTAGGATATTCTCTTCATTGCTTTCCCTGAAGAATAAAAAAAAATTTATGCTTACGTACCCGCATATCATGGAATTTCGAAGTTAAAGTATCAATCTCACAACACCGGAAAACTTGAATAAATAAACAAACAAAAATGGTATTATCATGTAGCGGTGGCTTGGAGATGAGTTGGAAAAATAGAGGAAGCTTGCAGTCAGGGTGCAGCCTTCTGAAAAGATAAATTAGCATCGGAGCGCGTTTTACAAGGTAATGTTAGCCTTTTACCAGATTCAATTTCTATTTTTTCAAGATTTGAAGTTCCTCAGTGTTTGGATATTAACCATCAATGGGTGGTGGATCATTTTCAAAACCTTCGAAGGTTATCAATCTCTATTCATAAGACTTTCTAAATTAAAATCACTGCTAGTTCCTGAGGTTCAAAACTTTTCGTATTTTTGAAATTTCTCCCAATCCTCTTCCCGAACTAATTGAGCTATGCCCCACGTATGACACGATCTCCATATTTCTTCTTGGAACTTCAGAAATGACCTGTGGATGTGAAGTTTAAAGCCAAAGAAGGTGGAGATCCGTTGACCGACTCTGCTTCGCAGGAAACACGGTCGTAAACCCGGAGAAGGTTGATCCTTGACGATATATAAGTCTGAAAATATTCAGGTTTTTCTTCGCTTTTCGATCTATCAATCATTTTGAAGCGTTCTTTTTGAACTTGAAGATTTAGAAAATCAACATTTTAAAGGATTTTCTTTCAAACTAACCATGCAAATGAGCTGACGAGACAGGGCGTCCCTCACAATAATAAAGTCATTGTCGGCGTTTTTATAATGGCTGACACAGGTGAACTCGTCTGAAACTTGAGAGTTGAGGCTAGAGTGACCACTCAAGGGACCTTGCTGAGGGTACTTGCAGTCGCGGACCAGCTCCATGCTGTTCTTGTCCGTACAGCCGATGGTCAGCAAGGGAACTTCGCAAGAAGGAACGGTATGCTTTCCTCGGATCGGACAGGCTTGCTGGAAAAACTCAAAATTAGAAGTTATGAGCTGAGTTCATGTTCGCGGCAACTCTATCAGGACGCCTTGAGAAATTTGATTTTTTCGGCAAGTTTTTTCTTTCTGGACACATTCTTCATTCAACTCTCAATTAAAACTTCCTAGCCTTCATTCAGGAGGAAAAAAAACAGAAATTAACAAAATATAACTCTCTAAAGCTCGATGTGAATGAACCTTGGACCCTTGAAGAACCAAAGTGTCCCTGTAGTCAACAGAAAATTCGGAACAGTCATCAAAATCATCAGTCGGCGAGATTTGACCATAGGCAATGTGGAGAATGTGCGGAGCTCGTTGGTGAATCTTAAAGATCCATTTTTAACTATTTTCAGTTTTTTACAAGACAAATCAACCTTTAAGCATTGATACCCAACTTTGCAGCCTTGAGCGACAAAAGTTCGAAAAGTGAACTCTAGTGGGTTTTCAGTTGAAGTGATCTGACTCGACCTGGAAAATCTTCTCCCGTTGGTTTCTCATATTAAATTAGCTAATGAACCTCAAGCAGCTCCAGACCGTCTCGTTCCTTCCGCTTACAACCGAGAGCCATGTGTCTGAAGTTGAGAACATAATGAAGTTTCTTTCGAATGTGATGAAACCATTCAAAATTCGATGAGTTGTGCCGAAGACCATCGATTCCCAATTCCGGCGCACCATTCTGTTCCCAAACAAGCTTGATGGAAATTCGCAGGATGGGTGAATTGGAGAATCTTCAAAAAAAAATAGGTTTTTCCCTTTTTATGAGCAAAGTCAAGAAAATCTTCAAGCCTCGAAAGTTTTTTTTTGCTCCTTTTACGATATTGAAAAAAAAATCTTTTGGAATCAACCTATATTGTAGACCTAAAATGTAAGAAAAAGATTATATCCCGACTCAAGAAGCGTCTTTCGAGCTCGGCGCCAGTCCGCAATGCGCCGTCGCGCGTAAGCAAAAGGTATGTAGAATCCATTTTAGTTTAAATTTTCATTCACCTTTATTCAGCCCTCGAAGAAAAATGTTTGCTTAATCATTAAATATTTGAAAAGTTCTCTGGCGGCTGAAGAAACTGCTGTTGATCCCAGCGTGAGATCCTCTTTCAAACTTCGAAGATTTTTTCTGGGCTCCCTTGTTGAGATTTTTTGGAAATCTTCTCTCAACACCTCTTCAATATAAAAGAGCTCAGAAAAGCGGCAGGAACAAGTTTGGAAGTTTTTAATCTTGTCATTTTTTTTCCGAATTTCAAAGCTTGAAAATGCTCTCAAACCTTGCCGAAAGTGAAGAGTCGTCGTGGCAGCTCCGATATGCGTAAGTTCTTGACATCCAGCGTCAGCCGACTCTCCAATCCGTCCACTGGTTCCAGATTTCTCGAGAATCTTGAAAAGGCAGCAATTTCCAGGTGCCTTGAAATCAAAAAGACTCACAAAACATCGGTATTGCTCGCCAAATCGTTGTCCGATCCGGGCTGCAAAGTAAGATTGGCCAAACGACCGCCAACTACCGATACACTCCATTTGCCACACTTCAAAAGGATTATTTCTCAATTAAGCTCATAAAATAAAAGGAAAAACCAGCGGCTTCTCTGTTCGGCACCTCGGGGCAAGCCTGATAGTGAAGCGCCAATCGATCGTATTGTGAACACCTGAATTTCCATTCGTTGTGGCTTCTACTTGGACAGCTGAATGTTTCGGAATTCATTTTTATGGCTTTCCAACACCTTTTATTAGAATGGCATGAAAGAAATTCTGGTGTTTGATGTTACTCTAGTTTATCGTAAAAAAAAAAGTTTATCACAGATCGATGCGAAACTTAATTTCGATCTGCAACAATCACTTGTCAGCAACGTCGACGCTGAGAATGGATACTCTCTTCAGCATACTAGGCCGCCTGCGACTCGAAGAAGTTGTACGCCCAAATTTGGACGCCATCGGAGTTCTAACTTTTTTTTTGCTCTCAAGTGATCCAATGATCGGAACGGGTGGTTAATGCAAAGAGCCCTGTCTGAGATTTCTTCGCAACTCATCATTTACCTGTGCATGTGTGAAGTTCTACTACTGCAGGACCCATAACTCGACTGGTAAGTGAAGTTGAGTGGCGCTTCGATTGGACACGGCACCACCGAGGCGTCTTCTGCGAAAACTCCTTGTTAGCATATTGTATTGTGTGTAACAATCGATTCTCATTTACCTTTAGTTTTGGACCTTGGTAACGCGAATCGGACGTGTCGGGGCATGTCTAGTGACCACTTTCTTAACTTCAGCACTCTTAAGTGATCTCTAGAAACGTCCGATTTTCGTTACCGAGGTCCGATGTTATATAAGGTTCACCGTTTGATAAAACTAAATACAGCTTGAAGAGGTCATAGATGTGTGTAGCTTTACGCGAGCGTGTACAAGGGCCGGCCCGTCTTTGACTGAGGATGAAAAATCTTTAATCGAAAAGCTATTTGAAGCGTAGCCAGGCCCAAGTCTGCGGAGGCTTCTTCGCAAAAAAAAGGCCCAAGCCTCACGCTAAAGCCTGCCTTTACAGAGATTCCGCACTCCAGAGAATACCTTATTTCACTTGAATCCTAAAACCCAAGCCAAAAGCTTCTCAATTTGTTGATTGGCCACTTTCGCGACAACGGGGCTCAACTAATTCGCGTCAGCCGCGAACAATGGAAATTCAAATTTCCCGCCCAATTTCCGCCTCTCGCCTACACATGAAGCTTAATTGAGAACCGGATCAAGCCTTTTTTCACGGGTAATTCTCGGATAGGAAAAAATACTCACTTCTGAACAAAGTGTGCATGATGACGTCGGCACTGATCAACTGGGAACATCTTTCCAACGACATATTTGGCTCGAAAATGCATTGAGCTGAAAAAAGGGACCATAAATAAAGAACAAATTCTGTTATAATAGCTCTGGAAGCCTTCTTTAAAAGTAACACTAACATAAAGAGAACTTCAGAAGTACAACTTCTCTACGGAGAAGTTCAAAACTCCTTCTAGCGACTTTAAAAAAAGCATAGAAAAGTTTCCTAAAGGTCTATGTGTGAAATGTTACTTTGAGTCATGAAATAAATGATTCCATTAGAACTAGAAATGCCTTGGTCGCATTTGGAATGTCTCCAAAAGTTAAAGTCGCGATGCGATAAGAACCAGTTCATTATTTGCACCTGCGAAAATCGTTTCAGGTCGGTCGCACACCACGGGAAAGACAATAGGAAACAGTAGATTCTCAATTTGAATTTAAAAAAATGGGATGAAAACAAACTCAAAAATGAATTTTTTGATACAAAAGTGTTCAAAAATTCGTAAGCCCTGAATCTCCTTTTGAACAACTCAAAACCTAACTATTCCTCTGTCGAATCCCTTTCTTATCTCAACGTTTATAATCCCCAAAAGGTCAAATGCCATCGAATTCCCTCCCTATATTCCTAATCTTGACATATGGCCCAAATGACGGATTGCGTTTTTCAAACGATTCAAAATCCTCGATAATTCTTGAAACCGACTCGATTTGTAGTGAAGGATATTCTCGTGGACAGGAAAAGTGATGAGGCATCTGTAACAGGGCCCGCGGGATCTGAAATTCATTTATTCACTCTCGATAATTTTCGGAGCTCACGTTTCGCTGGTCAGTAGGTAGAGATCCCTGCCTTTTTGTACACAATTACCCAAGTTTCCTGGAATTAATTTGAATATTAACAACTTATGAATGAAAATTACCTATTGAATTGTGGGTTATATTGAGTTCGACGCCGTTTTGAAGCCAAACACCGGTCCATGGCAAGTGACATCGTGATTCTGCAACTTTTTTCCCCTTTTTTGACTTTTTGACCACTTGCTCCCTAGTGAATAGATACTTTTTGACGAGAAACTTCCACTTCCAAAACCGAAAACAATGAATGTCCCGTGTCACGCTTCGCTGAGCTTCAGCTATCCATTAGCCTTGTTCTTGGCTTTTCTTTTGGGAGAAACTTTTGAGTACAGCCTTCTTCCGTTTGGAAAGTGAACTTGAAGCTTTTCTCTTGTGCCATGGAGTTATTAGTGGGTGATGAATAGTCGGAGATACGCATTTTAAATAAAAAGAAAAATTGAAACGATAGGAAAATTTTATAATCAGGCCTTTTTTTTGACTCAAATCCCTCTCAACGAATGGATAGCTAGTCGAAATTCCGGTGTTCCATAACAATTTTAAACAGTCCAGTAGAGCTTTAAGCTTCAAGAATGCCTATTTTTTCATCTTCAAGAAATGCGATAGTTTCTTTGCCTTTCTTCGAACTTTTTCAAATATCAAAAAAGATCCTTTCAATGTCTCACCTGGAAAAAATCCCCAGTTCCTTCAAAGCTTCTATTTTTTGAGTCTAATTAACTCTGTCGTCTTCCCTCGACCTTCTAACCAGTCGTAATATTTATCGTCTCCTCAAAATTTCACCAACGTTTCCAAAACGTCATTCCTTCCGCCCTATTCGCAGCTCAATCTTACTGAACCGACATTGGAGCCTTCCAAGTTGGCCTCATCGGGGAAAAATGTCGCGGCCCTTGTCCGCATGTGTCATAAGCAATCAGCCGCGGCTCATCCGCCGCTGAATTCAGGCTCGCCTCAAGGCGTTCCATTCTCGCTTTGCACTCATACTTGATGAGGTCTGGGTACTTGGAAAAGTTGGAAAAGAACGTCCGGAAATGGATATGATCATATGAACTGAACTGAAGGAAAACCATTTTTCCTGACCGGGTTGAATGAAGAGATTATAAAAACAGACACGACAGATTTGCGTATTCCACAAAGTTTCTCATGGATCTTAAAACATGATGAATACATTCATAAATGCTATTGATTGTTTTGTTCTTGAAAATTAACGTAAAAGGGAAATTACATATCAAAAAATTAAGGGGAGCGAGAAAACATTTCCATTTTTCATGATTTTCCATGCACACTCTTGAATTCTCGTCAGTTTTTCGCTCTTTCGTCCTTCTGGGCCCATAATTTCAGCCATTTTTCTCACTCTGCTCCACAAGGACAAGGCCAGGAGGCATTAATCTTCGGATTTTCTCGAGCTTCCATTTGTCCTCAAAGGAAAAAGGAGAGATTTCGCCCCTTGGGACGAATTTACCCTTTAGCCAAATTGCGTCTTAATGGCGCCGCTGTGTGTGTTGTTGAGCCATTCCTTATGGTTTTTGGATTATTAAAAAAGCCATTGTTTATGGTCTTAGAGAGGTACTGAGGAAGAAAAGGGAATTTTTTTGAGCTATAAAAACTTTTCCAATCACTTCAGAACCGTCTAAATCGTGGCGGCAAAGATATGTAGTTTCTTCAATTCGAGGCAAATTGGCCGCTACATGACACCTTTTCCACACACAATATATAGTGGAAAACGGGGACGTCTTCATTAAAATTCTGCGCGTCTCGCGCGCAAACGACAAAAAGAATTTGATACGATGCGCTGTCCCCTTGTTAAGCGGACCTTTGGAACGTCTGAACCTCATTTGAGAGCTCATTAGTATTTTCCAAGCTGAGTTATAAGCTTCATCTTTCGTTAATCGTTGATCGAATACAAAAGGAATATTAGACTTTTTTGATAGAATCGATGGCTTAGAAGCTTGATCACTTTATAGTTTTTTTTGTGGGAAAAAGTGGAAAGCGGGAACCTCAATCCATCTCCTTTTTCAATTTTTCTAGAAAAGTTTCTGAGAGCCTTTAGTAACTTTTAAGTCGATTTATGAGCTTCATCCGCTTATTAAAGAAAATAAAAGGTTACAACCGCCATTTATTAGCTGTCGAAGCTTGTTTACAAGAAGCAGAAGCTTAACCATAAGCTTTATTTCTTGAAAGTAAAAATAGAACACGCTAAGTAGCATCTTCGCTTCTTTCAGTTCCGGCGAAAGTTAGCTAGTCATATGCTTTCTCAAACTTGAAAAAATAAACATAGGTCAGCCATTTTTTCGAATCAAATTTTCAGAAGCTGTAAATTGCTTCCCCCGATATTTTTGATCTTTCTAGCCAAATTTTTTCGAAAACCTCAAGAAACAAATGTGTACTACTAAACATAGTGGAATCCATTTTTTTTTTCTTATTTTTGAAGCGGCAGTCGTCACGCGATGCCCTGGAAACCCGTAATTATCGCGTTTGTGCGGCCCGAGTAATTATCATTTTTCGGCTTCTGTTTTGAAATTTTTTTCCCAGTCAATTTTCCAGTACTCCCAGTGCGCTTCAAGTGCAACGGAGCCTTCATTATTGGATTAAGGCAGCCGACATGATAAATGCAAACACTGGCCTTCCGGTGAAGGTTAATAGCCTCTTCAATTATAATATCCCGCATAAAGTTAGAAGATAGAGTTTTCAAAGTTATCCAGAAAAAAATAATGGCTGCCAATTAATCTAACCTCGGAGCAAGCCTAAATTAGAAATGCAAAGAAAAGAGCGGGATGGGAAACGTCGATGGAAATTGAATTGGCGTTCCGAGCAAGCCCTAGAAAACGCGATCCGAATAAATAGACTACATTTTTTACGCTCTAAAAATGTTTCTTAAGTCGTTTTCTGAAACAAAAAAGCTTCTAAACATTCAACTTTTTTTTTTCGCAAGGTTCGTCGAAAAATTCAAGAAAAAGAGTGCGTCTGGCTTTCAATGCATACCAAATGAGCACTGATATTACCGATTCTAATTAACTTATTCTTCCCCGAAAAAAAGTGAAAAGAAAAATTAGTCTTTTTGAAAGAATGGAGACTTAAAATTTTTTATAAAGTCAAAGTAAAAAAATTTTTTGAGAAAGTTTTTCATAGAGCTTGAAGCATGCGGAATAAACACCGACTTTACTCACTAAACCAAAAACTTACAGAAAAAAAAAATCAAGAAAGGGAAATCGCGTACCGACGAGAGAATGGAGGCCAACGAGGATGAGAAAAAATAGCCGCAGCTCAAAAAATGGAATTTTTGCTGGGTTGACGGCCAGCATTTGGAAACATCATTCAGCGCCTTTCCTTCCTTTTGCCAAAAATCAATCGATCTCCGCTTTGCCCGTGTGTCTCACCTGATAAGAACGAACATCAATTGATAAATTTCACAAACAAAACTGGAAATATGCACGAAAAATCATATAGAATTTGTTTGGTGGGAAAGAAGGGGCTCTACGGGGGAAAGGAATGAGAGGTCCAAGTTTTTGACAAAGACTTTTTTATATTTGATATTTTTGAAAACAAGCAAGGATTTTCAACAAACCAAAGAGCAAAGTTAGTCCAAAGACACACGAAAACCAGAAAAAAGAAAGGAAGTGGCCAAGGCGAAATCCAAGGCGAATCGGATGCGCCCCAGGGAGAAAGACAAAATGTGGGCGTGGCTTTCTGAGGGTTCAACTGACGTCGTCTCTCTTCCCTTTTCTCTTCTTCTACTGTCCATTCCCAATGGACGTCGGTGAGATATGACTTTCTTTTCTTTTTATGCGGAAATTGCACCTATTAGGGGCGATTTATGGAGTGTACCTTTTGGGGAAGGTTATTTCATGAAAAAAGGCTTCGAAACGAATTTTATCTTCTTGTACTCAACGAATTTTAGAGAACGAGAGTATCCCGAAAAAAAAATCCCTGATATCAATAGTGTGGATAAAAACTTACTCACAGAGGAAATTATCGGGAAGAACGGAAATGAGAAGGGAAAGCTACATGGGCATTCAAAAATACATCTCGTTTCATTCCTTTCAAAATTTCAGCCCATGTGTCTCCCTCTTCTTCTGTTTCCAATATGGATACGGTAAATTTATTGATTTATTCAACTCAAAATTTTAAATTGAGATGAAGAAGGAAGGTCATTTTACTTTTCAGTTAGGAATTTTCTGAAATTTGAGCAGCACTCTTTTATGAACCAAGAAGATTCTGAAAGTCCCAAACTGCTCCACTTCCTATTTTTTGAAATGGGTAGGCTCAAAGGCCCAAAAAGGCCTAGACGAATTTTGAGGGTTTTATTGTCTTTGAGGCGTCCGTTTTCAAACACTAAAAAGTCTTGCAGGTTGAGAGTTTCCGAAACTTCGTCTGGTATATGAAAGAGCGTTCTGGGCAATTTTTGGAATTTCCCAACCACAAAGAAATTCATCTTCCTTGTTAGATCTTTCGCGGTTCTCCAATATATAACTGAAAATGGTATTTCAAGGTTCACTGACGCTTTAACTTTCGCCGAATCGCCCAAACTCTTCTGCGACGACAAATATGGAAGCTTTGTAGCCGGAAAGGGGTACGATAAAATAGAAAGAATAGAAAAACTGGAAAATCGGGAAAAAGAGCCCACATCAAAACAGTGGCTTCAAATTCTATAAAAACTTGTAAATTTTGTTTTTTGTAGTCACCTCGAGTTTTAATGTTCTAGCTGTAGTAGTGTAGTATTAAAAAATCAGCGTTTGCTCTCAAAAAAAGTTTTTTCTAAACTTTTTATTCTTTCGGAAAATCTCTAATTGTTCTGATTTTTCATAAATCTTTAGAATTTCCAATTCTTTCTCTAAAGTTTTCTCCATTTTCCTACATCAGAAAGCCATGGTCGCACTTGGAATGGCTCGAATGCTTCTTCAGGAATTTTTAAGGCAAGCTTTCAAACGCATCGCGGCCACGGAGCTTGACCAGGGCGTCTCAAAATTTTTCGGGCGTCCCAAAAAACAACGAATTTTTTTCCCACCTCATCAAGAAGTTAAAAAGAAAACCTTTCAGTGAAGTCCAATTGGAAAACGTCGAATTTCCGAACACGCGGAACGGGAAACCTGTCGAGGAAGTTTTCAATCTTCGCCATCCTTGCTTCAGCCTGAACAGCGGAAATAACTATAAGAACCAGTTGGCTGGTAAATAATATTCATGGAAATTAAAGTGAGCTGGGCAAATCTTCAAGATATCTTCTCGCACGGGAAATTCGGGCCACAAGTTTGCCGTCGCCGATGTGCTCATTTCGTGACAGCTTGTGGGCTTTCTATTGATATTATAATTATTTTTCGTATTTTCCATATTCTTTATTTTAAAGCTCGACCAGCTTGCGGCGATCGAAGACCTTCCCCTGACTGGTACATTGACAAGAATCGCCTACAGACCATCGGCCGTAAATGGAACTGCTCCGATTGGAAGATTCCCTTGACCAAAAAGGGTCAAACCGATGTGAGGATTTTTAATAGATAAGGCTTGATTTTTGTGAAACTGCGGGGTCCTGTTATTTCGAAAGCTCAGAAAAATCAGAGAATTAATAAATAAAAATTTTAAAGCCAGAAGGTCAAAAAAGCGAGCAATATTTTAAAGCACTCTTCGAGAATCGAATGCTAAAACGCAAAAAAAAATTGTTTTTTTCGTTCCACTATGATTCCAAGGGTCTACTTAAAATTGCACAGAAGTCTTTCAGAATAAATTCAAAGTTCTGACGAGGAAAATTTCCTTGCTTTTCCTAACCTTTCGAAGTTTCCGAAATACTTTTCAGAACATCCACTATCAGTATTCAAGTTTGACAAGTTTGACAAATTTATTCAGTGTTTAAAAAAAATTATCTGCTGAATCATGGGATAAATGAAGTTTTCAATAATTTCAAATGATTAAAATTAAAAACAGCCATTCCAGGGAATCTACCTTATCCGCAACTACAATTCGCTCTCTTTGACAACCCAAGAAGATTTGCCGCCACCTTTCGCCCTTGACAACTCTTCTCTAGCCTACCTGGATCAATTCTCCATCCACGGCCTCAATTTGATACCGTTGATCAAAAGTCAAGAACAAGTCGCTGGAGTTGAGGAGCAGCTCAAAGTCTTCATTGAACGACATCCTGAAATTACCGACGTTAGAGAAGCTTTCGAGAACTCTTGAGGTTTAGATTAAAATTACAGATCTATTATGGTAACACGGTAACGGAAATCGGATACTTCACCAAGATAAAAATCCCCATTTTGAAGTCGTCAACTTTATTTGATACGCTAAAGCTTGTGCCAAACTTGCAAAGTTTGATGTTGACCAGGGTGAAGGTTGACGACTGGGAAATTCCGGTAAGAAATGAATTCGTATTTCCAAATTCTTTGCTGATGCGCTCGAAGGAACAGAAAAAGCCTCAAGAAGAGTTTCTAGTATTAAGAAAATTTTTCTTCTTGTACTAACTGGTGAAAAAAATTATAATGTTAACTATCATTTTTAGGTGCTCCAATTTTGATGAAAAAAAAATGAAAATATGTAAAAAGAAGATGATAAAGACAAAGGGGAGGCGTGTCTTCACACAGTTTATGGGCAAATATTGTTCCATTAACCAAAGGTAGAGCAAAATTAAGCTGTGACAAAGCAAATCCGCTTTCTAGGTGATCAATATGATTTACAATTTCACATTAACTTTAAAAGGAACTGAACAAACCTATTATATTTGCATTTTTTCGCTCGGAGACCTTGTCCATGCGCATTCAAACACATCAGCAAAGAGGGCCACAGTTTTCAGAACCAAAAAAAAAAATTGTTTTGCTAGCCCACGTCAAAGCTGAGCAATCTGAAAGCCGTTTCGTTCAACGATGTTGAGATGAACAACTTACCGACTTGGCTAACTATAGCGGATATTCAGGTAACTTTTTCTTCGATAACCACAAAAAAAGACGCAGAAAAAAACTAGTAGTTCTCTAAGTTTCGTCCTCAAAATGTGAACTGAAATTTTTTTTTTCAGTTCTTCGAACTCATCGGAACCGTCACCGACTCTTCTAATCTCACCGTTTTAAGTCACCTTCCCAACTTGGAGCATTTCATCTTGAAAAAGTCTTTTTTTCTCTCAACCAAAAGATTCTAGAAGTTCAAATTAAGCTCGAAACTGACCACTTGGAAATCCGCCTATCTTTCTGGAAGCCCTGGCTTGGTCTCGCTCACGATACAATGCAATTTGATCACTTCTATCGAAGTGGTAGGTCAAAAGTACGAGATTCCAGTTGACGAATCGTTTCAGGGCGCGTTTGACCACCTAACCAATCTGAAATACTTGTCATTGGCTGGAAATCGACTGACTAACTTGCCGGAGAACATTTTGGCAAAGTTGGAGAATCTCATCGTTTTGGATTTAAAGGCGTGGGTGCTTCTTCAAAGTTGAGGCGTATTTTTGCAACGAAAATTTTTACTTTTTGATTGCCAATCATTGGGATCTGCTCTGAAACGGCTTAATTCTGACTTTAATGATAGGAATTAAAATTTTTAGGTTCGATTTTCTCGAGAAACCATCCGATTACGACAGCCCCTGGATCAAAGGTTTCGATGAGAAACAAGTTGTTTGTCCAGCCGGCTTGAAAACAACCGAAACCGTGAATTTCTCTTATGAAAAATAACGGAAAGTGCCTTTTTAGATTCTCAGCAAAATGCCAAAAATACCAAACCCAGGAAAAATCGTAGCTTTGGAATTTCGTGGCCAGAAAAACTTTGCAGCAAATGGGACCAATTTTTTGAGTGGATTTAACAGCTTGGAAGTTTTTTTTTCAGAAAAAATTTCTAGAAAAAGATACTTTCAAGGTTCTCAACATTGGAAAGATGGGTCTCAAAACATTGGCCAATCTGAACTTGGATCAAATGTGCAGTCTGTACGATCTGAACGTGATCAATAACCCATTGAACGAAGAAAATTGGCTACCCGACCAAATTTTCACCAATCTTCTCTTGGATCGCTTCCGTTTGGGTGATTCTCAAGTGATATAAACACAGATATGAATTTTTATAATTTCGAAAATTTAAGCCAATGTCGAAAATTCCGACGACATTGATCGCTCTGATGCGTTCTTCAATGAATATCATGTCATCGGTTCCGATCTCTTTGAAAAGCTCTGAAGCTTTCGCCGGTGGCTGTCAATACGGTATGAAAAGGGTTTCACAAGAAAAGAGTCTACAGTTGTTCGGAACATTTTAAAAAAGCCTGTGTATCAAGTTTTCGATGTTTTGGACCTTGATCTATGGAGATTCAAGAAGTGAAAATTCATTAAAAACTATCATTTTCGACTACTAAACTTCCTAAAACGGAATGATGTAGTCGCACATGGGATGGCTCGACGCGTTGCGGGTAGGAGCCACTTTGATTTTCAGCTAATAATTTTCTCAGCCGTACGACCGCATCGCAGCCGCGACGCATCGATCCATCCTACTTTCGCCCATAGACTTATTCTTTCGTTTAGAAGCAATGATGAGATCGACATCTTTCCAGTACAAGCTCTCCAATGAGAACTGCACCAGCCACGTCAGTGAGGTCATGAAGGAAATAAAGGTAATTCTATCAACTCAAGTTATTCTCCAATGCTAGAAACAGTTGTTTCACTCAAGTATCCAGAAGAAAAAAAAAATCAAATGATGATTTTTCAGACGCTCGACATCGCAAGAAGCAGCGCTACATGTGAATGAGAGAACTTCAGATTCAATAAACCTTGTTGATATGTTCTTACACCTCTATTTTATTTTGAAAGACGCAAAAATCAGTTTTCTCACAGGTTGATAATCAACGTTGGGCCGCCGGTGTCTCATCCTCGATCCTCCTCCAAAGGGGCAGAAAATCAACGACCAAAAAGCTGAAATAGTTGAGAAGCCTCGAAAAATGAGACCAAGCTCACATTTCCCAGTGGGAGTGGCTGAACAACGTTGGCAGAGTCGACAGGTTGAGGAACCATGAAATTTGGAGCAACGACAGCGGTCGGAACCTTTTGAAAAACGCTGAGAAATTCGCCGAGTGACGGCAACTCAATGGGCGGCATTTTTACATTCATCCAGGTTGCTGGGTTCAGGAATCCTGTAAAAAATTTCTGAACGTAAATGGGCAGACCAAATATCCGGGCCGACTCGTCAGGAAATTTTTTCCGAAATACCAACCTTTCTCCTGATGACTTTCGGATTCACTGAGAGGAAAGTTAAGTTTTTTTTTTCTGAAAATTTTGAAAATGGTTGGATAAATAAACGAAAAGTTCTTTTTCTGACAAAAAACCATAAAATTTTACGTCGGAAAACCATTTTTCGACGGAAAACTTCTGACTTCTGACGTCGGAAAAACATTTTCCGACGTCAGAAGTCAGAAGTCGATCCCTCGTTAGAAATTGAATTATCTTAAACCCATTGTATATACGAAAATAGAAATTTTTTGAAACGGCCCTATTTCTAACTGTTTGCTCTTTCAACAAAACAGGAAATACCTAGAGCCGGTGATAGCGGTCCCAATCCAAAAGGTATCGTTGGCACTTCTGTAGTCGTTGATGGCTCATCGATAGGGGCTGGAAAAAAAAAAATTAGATTCCCTCTGGAACTCCAAAAAAAAAAAAATACCGCAAACAGTTGTGGCGAAAAGACCGAAGAAGATTAAAGCACAGTTCATGGCCATTTGGAGTAACTAATTTTCAAAAAAACATGCTCCTTTTATATTAATTCCGGTAGTCAAATGCAAATATTTGCGAATTTTTGTTCTGGAAGTTTGCCAGGAAGACAAAGAGGGGGTAAATATGCAGCTTGTTCAAACAGGCCCTGTTTTTCAACTGGAATCAAAACTATCTTGTTTTTTTTACGAGACTGAAGAACAAGGTGGCTTTTTTTGACTACCCTTTACGTGGAAACTCGAAAAAAAGACATTTTTAAAATTTATATTTCTCTCTAGCCATGACTTGAAGTCATTTCGTCGCTTGCAGGATTATTTAAACGTTGCAGATCAAGTAATTAAAGTATCACCGGCCACGAAGCTTTCAATGATGCCGTTTTGGGTCGGGCGCAATTTCAACTCGCAGAACAATCATTGAGCCATTCCCCATGCGACCAAAGCCTAAGCTTTCAGATAGCATCCCATTGACATCAAAATTGTTTTTTTGCAACAATGTCCAAGAATACTCGAAACTTCTATAAATCCCACAATTCACAGAACTTTTTCAATCTGCCAGATTTACGCAATCAGAGCCCTTCAATGCAACAAACGTGTCTCAATTCCAATATATATATACTTTCATTTTTGTTCTCCATAACAAGTAAGGGGGAGAAGAGAGAGAATGAGACGGCGAGAGACGCAGAAACGATTTCCCTTTCTCGAAGCTTTTCCTCCCCTTCTATGATAAGCCCGACGGCTTCTTGGTATTATTATCCTTTTTTGTGTGGTTATTTATCCTCCCTTCAGCTACAAGTTCACTTTCTTGTACTACTCAAAACAACGTCTTTTTCTCAAGAAAGTTTGACTTTTGCCTTCTTTTGAAAATTGGAAAATATGGAGATCTATACTTTAAAAAAAAATTAGCTTGAAGCGCAGCCAATCGGGCTTGATCCAAAAGCCTTATTTTTTGATGACTTTTAAAACAGCTTTAGGATTATTGAGAAGATTGATTTTTTTTTTATTGTGAAAAAGAAAATGATGCATTTCGAAGTCAATGGTCAGGCAATTGAAAAAGTCTTGAAGTATTATATAGAGACCAAAAATTGTCCATATAAAAATAACTTTCTTCTCAACATCAGTGATTTAGAAATTTCGAGTTTTAGTCTTTAAACCTTAGCTTGAAGCCAAGCCAATAAGATAATATTCAAAATCCGGAAATTTTGATACCGAAAACTGAAATCTTTAAGTCTTTACAGGAGACTTCCTCATGATAAAAGAAAATTTTTTCGTAAACCGGTCATATTTTTTTAACATATTTTCGAGTCTAAAATGCTCTTATAAAAATTCTCGAAGATTTTCTGTTTGTTTCTGGGGGTTTTTTTTTTGTCAAACGGAACACTGAAAACCGAGCAATCCCTCATTAGGAAGTATAACGAAGCTTCAAAATCTTGATACTAGAAGGTCCGATGAACTTTTGAGTGCGAATAACAATTCAAAAATCTTTTTTTTTTGCTGATTTCGCACTTTGATAGTAAAGAGTCCAACTGTAGCCAAAATGAACCCGTAAAAAGATGAGTAATCGTTAGATTCTCCAATTAGATAACCTCATTTTTGTGCCCTTCTTTTAATTAGTTGCAAACCAACAGCCTCTTTTTCCCACGCAATCATTCTTTTCTATATTAATTCCGCATTAGTCACTCCAATCAGCCTTCACCCTACGAGAGTCTCTGTTCATTAAATTCAATGGGTTTTTTTTTCAAACAAGACCTCAAATTTATTTTAATCCTTCTACCCAATCTTTCGAAACCTTACAAAGATCACTTTTTGCGAAAGAGGAATACCTTCAAGTTTTCTAGAACCGTCAATCCTTGACGAAAAAAATTTTCAAGGAAAAATAACCGTCAAAACAGATTTTGCAATTGGAAAAACCGGCCACGCCTCGGAAAAACATTCTTTCGTTCCATTTTTCTAGATGAAGCTTTCAGTTTCTCAATTTTTTTTTCTATTTATCGTAGTTCTCGGGAGATTTTTTTGTACTTTGTTCATTCAACTACTAAATATGTTCCAGACGCTACAAAAAAATGGATCTGAGAACGACAATTTTTTTCTACTCGTTTTAATTATAAATAGGTAATGTTTTTATCCTTTCATAAAATCGATTATTTCTTGCAGCAAAGCGCTGAAGATGGTCAAAATTAATGAAAGTAAGTTTTTTTACAGTTGAAAATCAAAAAAGAATTTATAAACGAAAAGTGCTTTTTCCGTAAAATTTCGCGCTCCGTAATTCAAACAGCTTTTTCAAAATCTTTTTTTCTGGTAAAAAATGTTTCAGAACCCGCCTCTTCCACTTTTTCAAGCTATGAAGACGTCGTGGAAGAAGAAAAAGCAAGCTCCAAACTATTCATGCAAGCTCCGAGCTCAGGAGATGAACAAGAGGTGATGGAACTTCTCGAAGTTCTACATCAAGAAGCTGGAGTACCCATTCGGACAACAATCGCCCCAGTTGTGACAACTGTCACCAAGCCTCCAGTCTTCGATAAGGTCCTTTTTCGAGCTTCATTTCATTATTTCATGAAAAATCTTTAGGTCTTCATGCAAGAGGTCGAACCGGCTTCTGAAGTCAACTTTGATGACAGCAGAGAAGATTACGATCTGGCAATGAATAGCTCTCCTCTCGAGTCGCCGGCAAATCGTGTCACTGTAACTGGAACGATATTCCGGGAGGGAAGCCGGCCGATTTCCAACGGAATTGTCGACAACAGAGTGGTTCACAGGTTGAAAAGGCTTGACGGGACGGCTGGAGTGGCCAGAAACCCGTCAAAAGCAAGGAAACGTCAAAGGTGAGGCTGCTAACAAAAGTGATTTCCTAGAGACTGTAAATTGAAAAATGACGTCACAGAAACGAGCGGAAAAACCAAGTTTACAGCTTCAATCAAGGAACGGCTTGCAAGTTTCAAAAGGCTATAAATAATAAAAAATGTCGTCATTTTCGAGTACCTATGGCGTCAATGAATCGAAATTTTTTCAGAAAACTCGTTATGAATCGCCGAAAAAGGATGACAGTTGAGCGGACGGCTGCATTGGCCCCACCGAATTTCTACCAAAGAGTTTTTTTGGATTCGTATCATCGAAGGACTAAAAAAGAGCTACCGAAGTCCGTCATAGTGCCTCGAAGAGCACCAAACAGGCCAATGAAACTAGTTTCAGCAAGAACAAAGGTGCGATTACAGATTTCAAACTGACATTGGGCAGGAATTTTAGAAGTATGTTCAAAAACGGGGCACATTGAAGCATCTAAAAGCAAGAAGGATTCGAAATACTGAGATCGATATTAAGTAAGTGTTTTATTTCCTCTTTTCGAAGATTATTATACTTTTCAGCCCTGTAATCGAGTTCCTACACGCTTTTTTTCAACGTATACCACCGAAGGAACGTTTTTCAACCCATTGAAATGAATTTGATTGTTATGAAATCTAGAATCGTCACATATGGAACATCAGTTCCAACCTGCAATTATAATAAGTACCTACTTCTTTTGCATAGCCTAAAGCTTTGAAAAACTTTCCCTTTTCCTTATGAATTCCACCCTATGTGGCGAAACCGCTGTTTTCTGTAATATTCTCGCCGTTCTTCACGTCTTCCTACTGATTATTGTTATACTCTTCTTTCTCGTCTACACATTTATGTATAAATCGATGACTAAAGAAGACACGGAGGTTTGGAGTCGAAAAAGTGGTTAATAAAAACAAATCACAGACTTGGGTTTTTCCTATCACTCGCCAATTATATTGGCTGACTGCCAGCGTTCATCTAATGTTTTTAACCTTTTCTGTGACTTTGGCTTTCGCATATTTGAATTTACAAAACGAGGCGTTCAATGATAAAGTTACATCTATCCATTCGGCAATCGTTAAAATGATCCTCGTCGTGGTGGCGGTTACTACAAAGGTTTCCAAAACGAAGGCTTTGAAAAATATCTTTGAATCAAAAAAATAGGGGACGTTGGAAGTTTATTCGACAAATTTGGTTTTTTATCTTCATCTGGTATTGAGTGTCCAGCGATTTGTAATAATAAAAGTTTCTGGGAGCCAAAAACGGTTTGTAACTGGGTAAGTTTCTTTGACCATGAATATCGAAACATCGGTTTGAAAGACACTTTCTCAGGAAATTCCTAACCTTTTACATTTTTCTTTGCTGGTCTTTTGCCCTATTTGAGCTCTATCTAAGACGGGGAAGCTGTACAGTTTGTATGGACCTGGAATACTCAGTTGACCGTAGCAATTGCTCTCCTGCATCTCTGGCTTATGCGGCAAGTTTTTCTCAACGTTTTCCTAACTGGGCTATAGATTTTGTTGATTTTCAACCGGACTCTGCCTTTTGTCGGCTGCATTTTCTGCTTCCTTCTGTACCGTCAAATCAAAAAACAACTGGCAAGTATATCAACTGCAAACAACTATGAAATGGCGGTTCTTTACCAGAATATTCCAATTTTTTTCTACTCTGTGGTAAGTTCTTAAAGGCATAGGAGCAGTAAAAAACGGGGTTTCAGGTGAAATGATTATCTTATATAGTTTTTCTTTGCGAATCGAACGGTGTACTCAAAAAAATTAAAGATGTGACTAATTTTGAAGAAAAACGCGATTTTACTTTCCCCCCTTTAATTTTGAAAATAGCTT